CTATATAAATACATATATATATATATATATATATACAGATATATGTACAACCGTCTTCCCGTAGCCTTTGGTGCGAGCCCCTTCGGAACCGATCTGGGGCCTGTTGGTTGCCGCCCAGGGCCTGTTGGTGGGCTCTTTGGAGGGCTGCCGGCGGAGTCAGGTGTCTTCTTTGGGCGGAGGGCTCGACATTGCGGTTCGTGTTTCCCTTTTGGGATCTTTTGGTGTCCTCTTGGACCGTTTGCGAGGTCTCTTCGACCGTCTTTGGGGGGCCGTCTAGGGGCCGTCCTGGAAGCCTCCTGGGGCGATCCGGGGGGCCTCTTGGGCAGCCTTGGGCGCCGCACAGGCCCCAACAACGATGATGCTAAAACTGCACGCTTACCTCAGGGAATGGGATTTCGCTTCCTGGGGCCTTGTGGGTGGTCCTCCTGGAGCCCTCCGTGGGACGTTTTCGAAGCCCGTCGACCGTGTTGAGCCCATCCTGGGCGTCTTGGAGCGCTCTGGGGGGCGTATCTGGGCTCCCTTTGGACCCTCTTGGAGGCCCCTGGGGCCTCCCATTGCCTGTCTTGAGGCCTCTTGGCCCTCTTGGCCCGCGGAACATTGATCTGGCAGGTCCCTGCCCTCTCCCACATGGCATTTTGTGAATCGGGTCTGTGGGCCCATTCTGAAACATCCTGTGCTCCATTCAGGAGGAATCATCCATCTCTCTTCATCTGCATCCTCTCTTCATGCATGCATGGGCCCTCTCTTCGTCTGCACTTCTCCCTTCGATTTCCCTGTCCTTTTTTGGCGCCCTCCACCTGTCTGTATCACACACACACACTCTCTCTCTCTCCTCTCTCTCTTTTTCTCTTTTTGTCTCTCTCTCCCTCTCTCTCTCTCTCTCTATATATATATATATGGATTGCCTCTCTCTCTCTCTCTCTCTCTCTCTACATACATATAGATACACACACACACACACGTCTACACATATCCGTAAGGGCTTCGCCCCCTGCCGCCGGCCCCATCTCTCGGATAACGGGCTACGCAATAACTACATCATGAGGCCTCGGCGACGTCGTGAAACAGCATCGGCAAGAGAAATTGAGATTATGATGAGATTATTGAACTCAGTGTTGCATTTTGAACCTGCCCCCGTATGCTGTGCACAGGTTTTCTACAGGATTTCAGACACGTGGCAAATCCCAGTGGTTTTCCGACCCTGATACCGCCGATCTACGTGAGTGGTGCCGCCGAATTTCAGAAATGTGGTACATCTCATGTTTTTCTGGACCCTGACCCCGCCGATCTCCGTGAGGGGTGCCGCCGAATTTCAGAAATGTGGCAAATCCCATGGGTTTTTCGACCCTGACTCCGCCGATCTCCGTGAGGGGTGCCGCCGAGTTTCAGAAATGTGGCAAATCCCATGGGTATTTCGACCCTGACTCCGCCGATCTGCGTGAGTGGTGCCGCCGAATTTCAGAAATGTGGCAAATCCCATCTGTTTTTTCGACCCTGATTCCGCCGATCTGCGTGAGGGGTGCCGCCGAATTTTAGAAATGTTGCAAATCCTATTGTTTTTTCGACCCTGATCCCGCCTGTCTGTGTGAGGGGTGCCGCCGCATTTCAGAAATGTGGCAAATCCTATTGGTTGTTCGACTCTGACCCCGCCGATCTGCGTGAGGGGTGTTATCGGATTTCGAAAATATGGCAAATCCCATATTTTGTTCGACTCTGACCCCGCCGATCTGCGTGAGGGGTGCTACCGAATTTTAGAAATGTGGCACATCCAATTGTTTTTCCGACCCTTAACTTACCGATCTGCGTGAGGGGTGTCAATTTCGACCCCCCAGAAATTCTGAGAACCCTCCCGGGACGTGCTAACCAGGGTGCTTTTCGGTTTCCCCCCCTCGCGCGGTCTACAACAAGGAACAGTAATACAATAAGAAGCAGAGCTATCACATTTGAAGCTGGAACCTGCAACTGGCGCAGGGAGCAACAAACCTTTGCCCTACAGCCTGGTGGCCCCACAAGGGGGCCGGCGGATATGTGTATATATTTCCCAACCCTCCTGCGTTGGGTTCTCGTTTTGAATAGAGCACTGCTCGCGCGAACCTTCCTTCCTTCCTTCCCGTCCCTCTCTTCCCCCTGCCTTTGACCTCGCCATCCCTGGGGGGCTGCGATCTGCGAAACTGTCGCCACTTTCGAGGGCTGCTGGGGAGGCCAG